GAACAGATCCAGATAAAATCTCCAGATAAAAGCCCTCCTTATGTGCAGCGATATATCACTTAACACGTCCAAATTTCTCTCGAAATTGGACGAAACCATTTCTAAGATTAGCCGGAATGACCTTGTCCATTAATCTTGACATGGTGTGGTAGCGTTACACAGTCCAAACGGCATTATCTTGAATTGATAAAGCGGTCTGCCAGAAACTGTGAATGCCGTCTTATCTCGGGATCCAGGGTGTAAAAGAACTTGCCAGCATGCGTCTTTTAAATCTAAACTAGTTATGTGCTCAGCTTTAGGCAAGCGACTATGTATACCACTGATCTGCGGCAATGGGTATGCATTATTTTCGGTAAAAATATTTACATTCCGACAATCCAGACAAATTCGAACCTTGCAGGGTTTAGTAACCATTACTATCGGAGAGGACCAAGAACTCTCTGATTCCTCAATCACTCCGAGTTGCAACATACGGCCTATCTCAGCATACATGGACTTCTCCACAGCTGGTGAGACCGGAAAGTGACGCTGTTTAATCGGCTTGGCGTCACCTACGTCGATTTCATGGTGTATTAAATTGGTCTTTCCCAAGCCTTCCCGAGCAAATGACGGAAAACAATTTGCCACAATATTTAATTTGGCTCTTTGAGTGTCGGCTAACTCATGCTTGTCAACACTGACACCACTGACATTGCAATTTGGGACTTTCTCCACTTCTGCTATATTTAAGTGCTTTTGAAGTAACTCGTAAGATTTCCAGAAGATAACTCCTAAATATAAATCTTGCTTCAAAGATGGTACGGTGTAAATCATAAATGTTTTGACTATGTTTTCGATTTCCAAATCGACCTTCATAAACCCTAGTACTTGTTGAACTGTTCCATTAGCCGTGCTCGCCTTTTGCTGGAGAGACTTGTAAGCCAACTTACTGTCAACTATTTCTTTGGCTAAACTTCCTCCAAAACAGGATATAGATGCTCCTGAATCCGTAAACTGTACGATTTAACACTTTCACTGGCAAAAAAGGACAAGGGTCACGAGAAGTCATTGATACTTCACAGACATGCTTAATGCCTCTTCGATATTTTCGGACATCTTGCCAAAATGATCTAATTCTAGCAGCACTTCGAGTCTTAAGGAGTTGTAACGGTTTGCTACTATTGCTTACCAAATGTTTTATTTCTGAAATTTAAACTATCTTTTTGTGCAACAAGGATAAATCCGGGCTAATTTGTACATCCGGTATTTTATTTGGGGCAGTTACTAATGCCAAATTTCTTACTCGGTCATCGTTGACTGGTTGGACAGAGCACTCGAAGTCTTTGGTTTGTACTTCGACTTCGCAGTGCTGCCTTTGAAGTTTTTTGAACACTTTAACCAGCTTGTTTTATAAGTGTCGGCAGCGCCGCAACCATAACAAAAAACTCGCCGTTCCGAAACACATTCCTGGTAACGGTGACCCTCTTCTTGACAGTTGCAGCACACAAGCTTCAACCAACTTCTCCTCTCTTTTAAAGGGCTTATTTTTCCGTACCCATGAGTTCGTTTCACGTCTTCTAAAAAGGATTCTCAACGCCTGCATATTTCTCTTAATTCAGGAACGGTGTTAACTTCTACCTTTAAAATTTCGTGTCGGGTCTCCAGTCTCAAATTATTTTTGAGTACTCGGACTAATTTCGCCGTATTCCACGGTTGCTTCAGCTGATCTGTCAACACTGATACGCTGTCAAAGAAACTATCAACTTTCATTGGGTTTTTGCTTCCGGTTTCGTATTAATTCCTCGATGTCGTCGTCATCTCTTCCCTGCCTGAACTGCATTCGTAGGGCTTCGCATAATCTATCCCAACGCATTGTCGGTCCTGACCTAATCTTGTTTGAGGCAATATTTCCCAGATTCAGTGAGTCTCTATTCTCCAAAACCTTTCACCTTCTCCTCTTGGTCTTTCGCCTTCGTTAAACTGAAATGTGACGCAGGCCATTGGACGTGGAAACATTCGGTGCCCCTAATAATCTTTGTAAACAGGCTCTAATACAGTTTTCTAGATTCTCGGACAGAATGGCGGAGAGTCTTTTCTCCATTTCCGATAACGTCATTTCGTTTGCGACACTATCACCTTTCGACGAGCTGGTGGTATGCAAAGTACTGGGGTTTTGACCTATTTCGGTGGAAGTTCTGCCACTATCGCCTCGACTATAAGAATCACTAACAACTACACTCTTGCAAGGTTCCGAGTGTTGAATGCGGGATCTTGCGGGTTTTGCGCGCCTTTAACGCTTTACTTCCAGATGGATCACATTGGTACTTGCACACCGGACAGAGTTTGCTTTTCTAAAAATGGGATTCTAAACACCGCCAATGAAAATCGTGATTACAAGGCGTTCTTAAAGATGCTGCTAACGTTTCTATTTTTCCCATGCAAAGGGGACATGTAGGCTTTGATCCCCGAGGCTATCATATCAGGGGATCGGTCCAAACACATTTAAAATTATTTGTATATATATTATAAAGTCAATTTCTAAAGATAACACTAAAAAAATGTTCCCAGGAAAATAAAAAGATATCCGAACTGAACTCAAGATTAATGTCACACGAATCGAAGGTTTTCATTCGCTCACTAAGTTTCAATTCCTGCTTAGAGAACTACAACCTCTAATTTTCCAAAAATTCTTAGAAGGAGACAAATAAATCTTTTACTGAACTTGGTCAACGCCTTTTCTAAAAATGTAGCCTTTGATTCCAAGTTTGTATCTACAGGATTTTTATTTTTATCTCAAAAAAAAAAAAATACTATTTAGAAGTAGATGTTGTTACTAGTAAATGTAGGTTAGTACACTGCTCGTAAACTTGTGAATTAAATTCCTTTAAAATTTTGACTAATGATACATTTACTAGGAATAGAAGAGATTTCAATTGGTGTTAATATTGGACGGACAGACAACTAACCGCAGTTTTGTAATCTGTATTCACAAACTAACTAGCATTTTCTCCGATGACTATTGGTAAGAAATTTGTAGCTGTTTTCATAGTTTAGCTTTGGACAGAAAAAGTTATACTAATATCATCTCACTATTTCGGCTTTTAGCAAAACCTCTCGGAAAATTAGATTAAATAAAAAAAAAAAATTTGAAATTCTATTCGTAAGTCCCTATGAGTGTTTACTGTACTCACAGAGGCCCTTACACGTTGGGCGCCAATTTTCTTTATGATTATTAATAAGAACTGTAACGTGTAACGGTGTGTGTTGAGAAGGACCCGTCATTGCTGGGGCACGATATAGTGTCCGGCTCTTGCTCGTCGGATCCTTAGGGGGGGTGGTCTTACTTCGGACGGATCGCACAAAATACATATTAATAATCTAAAGACAAGAATTGAGCGTGCTAGCGACGAATAAATTGCATGATAGAACAGGTAGAAATTTATAAAAGTCCCCAATTTTAATGGAGAAAGTAAAAATGTGTATAAGCGCGAAAGTGGTCGCGATTCGCGGTGCCCTCCCAACTTATGGTCACCATCCTTGAGATCAACTATGGTGACCCCTTTTTACCCACGACCGATAAGACATTAGCTAAGTTCAGATAATCAAATTTAGTTAACTATCATGATTCAAGATTGACAAGGTTCAATGTTCAAGATAAACTTAAAATCTAACATATTGATTAGGGGACAAAATTTGTTCAAACATAAATGGTAAAACTAAATATAAACGGTAAAAAGTAATGGTTAATAAAATTGGATCATAATTTGTACTAGGAGATATTTAATCCGAATGTATATAAAGGATTCACAACAATAGTTACACGGTTTCTCTCAGCATCTTCAAGCTAATGAAACTATTATGATACCCGAAATTTCCTGAGGATTCCAATCCCCTTCAATATTGGAAGGTAATCTTTATTTTTTAAAGCATTTTAGATAACGAATTCAACAATTTCTTGCAGATCATAATTGACAACGAATCCTTAAAAAATTTCGCTAAAAAACTGTTGTGTATTCCAGCCACTTCAGTGGCGAGTGAGAAAATTTTTAGTAAAGCTGGAATTGTAATCAGTGACAAAAGGTCGTCACTTAAACCGTCGACAGCAGATAAAATTATTTTCATGAGCAGGAACAATTGGCTTATAAACAATTGAAAATGAGAGCCTCTGTTATAAAAATATTTATGAATTTGATCTCCTTGTTTGATCTCCGTAAAATATTCCAAAAAGAAATGTTTTCAAAATATTAATAGTAAGTGTTTAGGTGAGGGGCTGATGTGCCGCTCAGCTGAGCTTAAGAGCGCACCCGCGCTGAAGAGCGCATCCGCGCTGAAGAGGGATCCGAGCTATCGACTTGAAACTTTGCACCCTTCTTTTCTTTGCACGCCGACTATATATACCGTATAGCCGCCATATGACTGATTGATCGGAAATGCTATACCTTCCGAATTGAATCCGGCCAAATATATCCAATATTGTGATATATATGCGGTTTTAACTACAAGGGTATATCAGCCCAAAGTAAGCTTTCCATTCTTTTTTGACTTTTGTTCCTACGCCACCTGGTCTATGTGCTTAACCTTGTTTCAACAGTTTCTACGCGACTTAATCTCTCAGTCTTAAAGCTTCAAACCTGACATCTATGCATCTTTCTTTTGCACGCTGTGTATAAGTCAGAACGGCCGGAATCCGCAGACTATGTCATATAGCTTAACTTTGGTGTTTTTAGAGGATTTCATATGGAAATTTTTTATCTCTGGACCTTTTTTTTTACGTATTATTTACGATGATACCATATACCAAGTTTCAAAAGGATCAGGCAAATACATCCTCTAGCTGCCATTTAACTGCACTATTAGAAATAGCTCTACTTTCTTGTTTGTGAACTTTCTACAGATTCTATTTGATTTAAACATTTGAAGTTCTTATTAAAAGAATTTAGTTTTCTTTTAATAAAAGTTTTATTTAGTTTAAGAACGTAATAGGACGAAAGAAAATTAACAATGTATTAATCAAATGATACCTTATATTGATATCCCGAGGAGTTTTTAAGACGTTGATAATTTAAAATATCATATCTGGCTAATCCATCGCCTTGACGATCAAATTTAACTACGCTGCCAGCAAGATCTGTAAAACATTTTTTTAAAAAGATTATTCAAAAAAAATTTTATTTTATAATTCACCAATAAATGACACATTTAACAGGTAATTGTTGTAAAAGTCCTTTCCGTCGTAATTTGCCATATCTGGACACGCTTGAGTCTTGCTATTTCTTGATATCTTCGGATACCAAACAGATTCGCTATGTTGATGTTTTCCCTTTTCTGATGTTTGGTCGCTTTGCGTGTTACACTGATCGTTATGTAAATTATGCAGTGCATAAGCAAATGCGTAAACGGCATCCACAACAAACTGAGTCTTTGATTCTTGCTCATAACTTACGAAAATTTTTAAAAATTTGAGTTATTAATTAATTTTTTGGTTAATAAGAAACTAAAATTAAAATAGGACGGATATAGTCGACCTTCTCGACTATAAAATACCCGGTACTCTCTTTCACTCAACTTTCTTTCTTAGTATAAAGCAGAACAGACCAGGCATAGCAATAGGGAAATTAAGGGTCCAAGACCTAGGAAAGTCGGAAAATAAATATATTTTTTCGTACAACACATTTATAATAAATTACTTTTTAATATATGGTATTTATATTCTTTTTAATATTATATTTTTTTCAATATTATATACTTTTCATTGCGCAAATAAAGCAATTTTTCATAGAATTTCTTACCAAATTCAACAAAATCAATGTGACATATACTTTTTCGTAGAGAATTTAATTTTTTATTTTTGTTATTTCTATGAAATTTATTTTAAAAAAACCGGAAAGGACAACTATTGTCGAGTGTATTGATTATATTATACCATTCTTCTTATAAAGGATATTAAAAGCAACTAACATTTTAAAGTATGTTCTCACAAAAAAATGTTATTTTATACATTTTAGTAAATAAATAAATATTTAGTAACCATTAAAATTTGTATGCCCTTGCAGAGAGTATTATAATTTTGGTCAAAAGTGTGCAACGCAGTGCAGGAGACATCTCCGACCCCATAAAGTACATATATGAATTCTATATACGATCAACTGAGTTGATATGAACATGTCTGTCTGTCCGTCTGTCTGTTTCTATGCGAACTAGTCTCTCAGTTTTAAAGCTATCGACTTGAAAATTTGCACACACCTTTCTTTTCTTTGCACGCAGTATATAGGAGTTGTACCCTTATATATAGTACCCTTCACTTCGTAATATCAAAGATTATAAAGTACATAGATGGGACATCTCATACAAAGAAAAATTTAGCAAAGCGACATTTTTTTTTTATTTAGCGACAAAGATAGCCGAGTGGTAGGGTGCTTGGCTGGAGTGCAAAGTAAAACAAGTTCAAACCTGGCTCGGGACATATTCGCGGTCTTTTAGAATTTGGAAATGGCTTGTGCATCAATAAGAGCATCAGCTAGCATTCCTGTATTCATCATAAAGCTTAGAGGCCCAGACGACCAAGGGGCGCTCGAAAAACGATTTGTTAGTACATATTAAGCTATTTGAAATTTGTTAAGCTAAGAGGAGTTAGTAAGGAAATTTAAAATTCTATATTTTAAATTAGAGGGACAGGAAAGAGATTTAATAGAGTAGAGACCATTGTAGCTCAAACATAATACCCTAAAAGGGTCATGCAGTGCATATGTCGAACTACAACGGCTAAGGAACAGAGGACTAAAGTTCCGAGTCCTTCTATTAGGAATGTTAAAATTTAAGCGTGTTAGTAAATGCTGTCTATCTACATCCCCGTTAACAAGGTTATGCAGAAAAACTACACCGAGCATTGTCCTACGATTTGTTAAGCTAGGTAAGTTTATAAGTAAAAGTCTGCTACTGTGGGATGGAAGCTGAAAATTTGCATCCCAGTATTGACCTCTAAGTGCAAATATTAAAAAGTTCTTTTGTACGGATTCTATGCGGTCCTTATGTACTCCATATTGGGGACTCCAGACACATGAACCGTACTCTAGTATAGAACGGACCAAGGAAATAAATAATGTTTTGGTTATATAGGGGTCATTAAATTCTTTTGACCACCTTTTGATAAAACCAAGGACGCCATTAGCCTTATTAACCATTAAGGAAATATGGTCGGCAAATTTAAGTTTGATGTCTAATACGATGCCGAGATCATTAACCTGGGTTAATTTTTCCAAGGCCATCCCATTAATAGAATAAATAGCTTGCAGAGGGCAAGAACGATAAAAAGACATATGTTTGCATTTTGATCCATTAAGTATTAGATCATTAGCCAAACACCATTTTTAAAAGTTATCAAGGTCACACTGAAGACTGCATTGGGCAGAGATGGATTTGTACTGAAGACAAAGCTTTACATCATCTGCATACATAAGAACTAGAGAGTTCGTTAAAGCAGGGGGCAAGTCGTTTATAAAAAGCGTAAATAATAACGGGCCAAGATGACTTCCTTGAGGGACGCCGGATGTAGCACGGACCAGACGGGACTGAATGTTTTTAAATAAAACTCTTTGTGTCCTTCCATCTAGGTAGCTGGAGATCCACGTTAAGAGGTCTTTAGGAAAACCCAGCATATTTAGTTTACTCAACAAGAGTGAGTGATTAACTGAATCAAATTCTTTACTGAAGTCTGTGTAAATTACATCGGTTTGATATCGGTTTTGACAAAAGCCATCTATGACAAAGGATGTCAACTCCAATAAGTTTGTGGTGGTGGAGCGACGCTTAATAAAGCCATGCTGACAAGGAGTGATAATCGAAGAGCAAAGGTGTTGCAAATGAGGGGTAATTAATTTTTCAAATAACTTTGGAATTTCTGACAACTTAGAGATGCCTCTGTAGTTGGCAGCCTCGGACTTTTTCCCTTTTTTATGTAGGGGAATTATAAATGATTCCTTCCACTTAAGGGAAAAAATCGAGGTTTCCAAAGATAAGTTGAAAAGTCTTGAAGAGGTTTGCACAGAGCCCTGGCGCAGTAGTTTAGCACACAGCCTGGTACTCCGTCGGGGCCTGGCGAATAAATGGGTTTTACCCTTAAAAGACCAGATAATAAGTTGTTCTCAGAAAAAAACGGACAGAAAATAAGATTTGCTGCTTGAATTTTATATGCGTAAGGCTGATCAGTCCATTTAGGAGGAGAATAAGTTGTTTGAAAAAATTCTGCGAATAGATCGGCAATGGCCTGATCCGTAGTCGCAGAGGAATTATCAAACGTAAGCAGGGGTGAAAAAGATACGTGTTTACGCTTACTGCTTACAAAATTATAAAACTGCTTTGGATCCTGAGTAAATTTTATCCGGCAGCGGTCAATATAATTCCTATACCATTCCGCGTTATGCACAGTAAAATTCGACCGAGCTAGTAGGTATCTTGAGAAATCAACACAGGTTTTTTTATATTTAAGTAAAAGCTTATTTTTAATATTTTTTAGGTTAGTGAGGCCCCTTGTAAACCAAGGAGGATTTGTTGAAGCGGACGGATATTTCCAAGGCACACATGAGTCAAAAAATGTATTTAAAGTAAAATAAAATTTTTCTAAAGTGACATTAAGATCAGTGCACGCCAGAATATCAGACCAGTCAAATGTATCGATAAGGCTATTAAGTTTCTGAAAATCAGCTTTACGGAAACAGCGAATCTTATTTACCACGCTCGGAGACATCTGATCGATACCAGGAGTGGTTTCGATTGAGACCTCCAGCGTGGGGTGATATGGATCCTCTGGGGTTGAAAGGGGAAAAGCTCTGGAGAGAGCAGTACCATCAGGATCAGATACAAAACATAAGTCTAAGAGCCGACCTAGCGAATTTCTAACACGATTGATCTGACCTAGGGACATGTCAAACATGCCCGCGGGGAAGTCATGGTAAGTTATAAGTGACAAAGATGGTGAGTTATCGACGTTGGGCCACTTTAATTCTGGGATATTAAAGTCGCCCACCGCTACGAGTTGGTCACGATCCGTCATAAGATTAGAGACGTATCGAATAGCGGACAAATGCTGCCAATATGTGGGCGGTTCAGACATAGGAGGTATATATGAACATGTAATGTATAAAGCTTTCACGGACATAATGATTTTAACGCAAATAAATTCTATGTCACCCAACTCTTGTGATTTCACCTCTTCAGAAGCGAAAGTAGAGTCTAACGAAATGAGTACTCCACCTCTTCTTCGCTGAGATCGATCCCGTCTAAAAGTGGTGTACTTACTTGGAAAAACTTCGGAGCTTAAGATCTCCGGATTTAACCAAGTTTCTGTAAATGCTATTATATGGGATGCAAAGAAAGAACTATCAGAATATAGCTTGGGGAGTTTGCTACGTAGCCCCCTAGTATTCTGATAGGTAAGAGTTAGTGAGGAAACTAGTTTTTTGGGTTAGTGGCCAAAGAAGAGGTGGAGGGTTGGTCAGTGGTTCCGATATTGGGAAGTCTCACTCTCACTGGTTTATTAACTTTTTTTTTCACGGAACTAGGCTGATGTTCTTGGACGAAAAGATTCTCTGGCCAAAAACTGGGAGAACAAATCGTCTTGAACATCAGCGCGGGCACACGAATCTTGAAAGAAGACGTGCGCCTTGTATAATTATATTTAAATTTTTGTATGTCCTCCACCTTTATATCGGCTTTAGTTTTGGCTTTGATATAAGCCGAGATATCAATATCTGAAGTATCAGGGGCAAGCCGAGAAACAAATATATGTTTCGATGGAGGAATCACCTGTAAGGGTTTTGGTGTCGCAGGTACGAGAACTGCAGCATCAGTCGGTGCCGGTGGTCCGGACTGTGGAATACCCTTTTGGGTGACTCTAATGGGGGTTTCGTTCCCTAGGACCTGTGGCATCGCTTGAAGGGATGCCATGGCGGACATATCAGACAATTGCTCATTATCCCTGAGAAATTCTGACGAATTTTTCTCAGTTCTAGCCCTTGGGGTGGCCAGAATAGAATTTAGACAAATTATTAATTCGACTCCAAATATACCACAGCACTCGCGAAGCGATACGGTTTAGGCTTTAAGATTGTTAAGATTCACAAGATTTAATTCACAAAGTATGTAAACACCGGTTTACCAATATTTGTCATAAACGCAGTGCGCACAAAAAAAACACGACCGTTCGCTTGAAAGAAAGAGAGGGAAGTCGTACATTTTTTTTTAGTTTTAAATCTATTTATATTATATTTTTATTCTTTTAACGTGCTTTCCTAATTTATAATCCAATAAAAAAAATACAAAATTTTAAAATCACCTTAACATGGTCTCAGTTCGTAGCGGAACCCGCTTCAAAAATATCTATAAGTGCGGGTTCTACTGCATTTTGGCGGGTCGCGTCGTGTAACCCGCTGTAAAAATGAAA